CACACCCACTCACCGACTCACCCACTCATCCACCCACCGACTCACCCACTCACCCACTTACCCACCCAACGACTCACCCACTCACCCACCGACTCGCCCACTCACCCACCCACCCACCGACTCACCCACTCACCCACCCAACGACTCACCCACTCACCCACCCACCGACTCACCCACTCACCCACTCACCGACTCACCCACCCACCGACTCACCCACTCACCCACTCACCCACTCACCCATCCACGGACTCACCCACCCAACGAATCACCCACTCACCCACTCACCCCACCCACCCACCGACTCACCCACTCACCCACTCACCGACTCACCCACTCACCCACTCACCCACCCACCCACCCACTCACCCACACACCGACTCACCCACCCACCCACTCACCGACTCACTCACCCACCCGCCCACCGACTCACCCACTCACCCACCTACCGACTCACCCACTCACCCACCCACCCACCCACCGACTCACCCACTCACCCACCCACCCACTCACCACTCACCCACCCACCCACCCACCGACTCACCCACTCGCCACCCACCGACTCGTCCACTCGCCCACCCACCGACTTGCCCACTCGCCCACCTACCGAATCACCCACTCACCCACCCACCGACTCGCCCACTCGCCCACCCACCGACTCACCCACTCACCCACCCACCGACTCGCCCACTCGCCCACTCACCGACACCACCCACTCACCCACCCACCGACTCACCCACTCACCCACTCACCCACTCACCCATCCACGGACTCACCCACCCAACGAATCACCCACTCACCCACTCACCCACCCACCCACCGACTCACCCACTCACCCACTCACCGACTCACCCACTCACCCACTCACCCACCCACCCACCCACTCACCCACCCACCGACTCACCCACCCACCCACTCACCGACTCACTCACCCACCCGCCCACCGACTCACCCACTCACCCACCTACCGACTCACCCACTCACCCACCCACCCACCCACCGACTCACCCACCCACCCACCCACCCACTCACCACTCACCCACCCACCCACCCACCGACTCACCCACTCGCCACCCACCGACTCGTCCACTCGCCCACCCACCGACTTGCCCACTCGCCCACCTACCGAATCACCCACTCACCCACCCACCGACTCGCCCACTCGCCCACCCACCGACTCACCCACTCACCCACCCACCGACTCGCCCACTCGCCCACTCACCGACACCACCCACTCACCCACCCACCGACTCACCCACTCACCGACTCACCCACTCACCGACTCACCCACTCACCGACTCACCCACTCACCCACTCACCCACTCGCCCACCCACCGATACGCCCACTCGCCCACTCGCCCACTCACCGACACCACCCACTCACCCACCCACCGACTCACCCACCCACCGACTCACCCACTCACCCACTCACCCACCGACTCACCCACTCACCCACTCACCCACCCACCGACTCACCCACTCACCAACTCACCCACCGACTCACCCACTCACCCACTCACCCACTCACCCACCCACCGACTCACCCACTCACCCACTCACCCACTCACCCACTCACCGACTCACCCACTCACCCACTCACCGACTCGCCCACTCGCCCACCCACCGACTCGCCCACCCATCGACTCACCCACTCACCGACTCACCCACTCGCCCACCCACCGACTCACCCACTCGCCCACCCACCGACTCGCCCACTCACCCACCCACCGACTCGCCCACCCATCGACTCACCCACCCGCCGACTCGCCCACTCGCCCACCCACCCACCCTACCGCCTTACCCACCCACCCACCCTCCCGCCCACCCACCCACCCACCCTACCGCCCACCCACCCACCCACCCTACCGCCCTACTGCCCACCCGCCCCACGCTGGGACCCCGACTCCCCAATGCCACCACCGCCCTCTCACCGCGGCACCACCGCGGTGTGCACCCCCAGGTCGAAGTTGGTGTCCGTGCGGTTGCCCAGCGCCGTCACGGCCTGCTGCAGTGACGCCTCCACAGAGGAGAGCGACGTCTCGGAGTGGGACGCCACCCCGCTGGGGTCGGGGGGGGGCGAGGGGGGGAGGGGCGGGTGGAAGGGGGGGAGGGGCGGGGCGAGGGGGTGGACACGTTTGAGAATCAGCTGCTTCAAGTTGATTTTGTTTGCACCATCATCAAAGTCAAAGTCAAAGATCCGTCCCCCCCCTGTCCCTCCAGCTGTGACAGACTCCAACTATACAACAATACAACAATACAACTATACAACAATGCAACAATACAACAAGACAACAATACAACAATACAACTATACAACAATACAACTATACAACTATACAACAATACAACTATACAACTATACAACAATACAACAATGCAACAATACAACAATACAACTATACAACAATGCAACACTACAACAATACAACTATACAACAATACAACTATACAACAATACAACTATACAACAATACAACAATACAACAATGCAACAATACAACTATACAACAATACAACTATACAACAATACAACTATACAACAATACAACAATGCAATAATACAACACTACAACAAAACAACTATACAACAATACAACTATACAACAATACAACTATACAACAATACAACTATACAACAATACAACTATACAACAATACAACTATACAACAATGCAACTATACAACAATACAACTATACAATACAACAATACAGCAATGCAACTATACAACAATACAACAATGCAACTATACAACAATACAACAATGCAACTATACAACAATACGACAATATGACTATACGACTATTAAACAATACAACTATACAACAATACAAATATACAATAATACAAATATACAACAATACAACAATGCAACAATACAACAAGACAACAATACAACACTACAACAATACAACTATCCAACTAAACAACAATACAACTATACAACAATACAACTATATAACTATACAACAATACAACTCTACAACAATGCAACAATACAACAATACAACTATACAATACAACAATACAGCAATGCAACTATACAACAATGCAACTATACAACAATACAACAATGCAACTATACAACAATGCAACTATACAACAATACAACTATACAATACAACTATACAACAATACAACTATACAATACAACTATACAACAATGCAACTATACAACAATACAACAATGCAACTATACAACAATGCAACTATACAACAATACAACAATATGACTATACGACTATTAAACAATACAACAATACAACTATACAACAATACATATATAGAACAATACAAATATACAACAATGCAACTATACAACAATACAACAATGCAACAATACAACAATGCAACAATACGACAAAACAACTATACAACAATACAACTATACAACTATGCAACAATACAACAATACGACAATACAACAAAACAACAATACGACTATACAACAATATAACTATACAGCAATGCAACTATACAACTATACAACAATGCAACTATACAACAATACAACTGTACAACAATACAACTATACAACAATACAACTGTACAACAATACAACTATACAACAATATAACTATACAACAATACAACTATACAACTATGCAACAATACATCTATACAACAATATTTATATTTGCATGAGGGAAGGCCCCCACCGAGCCTTGTAACTCTTTGTTAGAAGCGACCTGGATATCATAAATAATAGTTACCACCACCACAGCTAACACCATCACCACCACCGCTAACACCACCACCACAACCGCTAACACCACCACCGCTAACACCACCGCTACCACCACCACCACTGCTAACACTACCACAGCTAACACCACCACCACCGCTACCACCACCACCGCTAACACCACCACTACCGCTAACACCACCACTACCGCTACCACCACCACCACCACCACCGCTAACACCACCACCACCACAGCTAACACCACCACCACCACCACTACCGCTACCACCACCACCGCTAACACCACCACTACCGCTACCACCACCACTGCTAACACCACCACTACCGCTACCACCACCATCACCACCACTGTCACCACCGTCACCGTCACCACCACCACCGCTACCACCACCGTCATCACCACCGTCACCACCACCGCTACCACCACCACCGCTACCACCACCACCGTCACCACCACCGCTACCACTGTCACCACCACCGTCACCACCACCATCACCACCACCGCTACCACCACCGTCACCACCACCGTCACCACCACCGTCACCACCGCTACCACCACCGTCACCACCACCGTCACCACCACCACTGCTACCACCGTCACCACCACCGTCACCACCACCACCGCTACCACCACCGTCACCACCACCGCTACCACCACCGCTGCGACCACCACCACCACCGTCACCGCCACCACCACCGCCACCACCACCGTCACCACCACCGCCACCACCACCGTCACCACCACCACCGCGGCGTCCGTACCTGCTGGCGCTGAATCCGAGCTGCCGGCAGGCGACGGCGTCCAGAGAGCTGTGCCAGCCGTCGGCGCACACCGTCCTCCACAGAGCCTCGCTGGCGCTGAACACCTGAAGCAGCGCACTGGGTCCACTTACCTGCACTGCTTGCAGCGGGGAAACGCGTCACACACGCAGCACACCACACCACGCACACCGCACCATACCACACACACCATACCACACACACCACGCACACCATACCACACCACACACACCACACCACACACAGCACACCACACACACCATACCACACCACACCACACACACCACACCACACACACCATACCACACCACACACACCACACCACACACACCATACCACACACACCATACCACACACACCACACACACCACACCACACACACCATACCACACCACACCACACACACCATACCACACACACCACACATACACCACACACACCACGCACACCACACCACGCACACCACACCACGCACACCACACCACGCACACCACACACAACCACACCACACCACGCACACCACACCATACCACACCATACCATACCATACACACCACGCACACCACACCACACACACCACACCACACACACCACACCACACATACCACACCACGCACACCACACCACGCACACCACACCACGCACACCACACCACGCACACCACACCACGCACACCACACCACACACTCACGCCCCCCCCCACTCATCCCCCCCCACCCCCCCCACACTCACCCCCACCCCACACTCACCCCCCCCCACACTGACCCCCCCCCACTCACCCCCCCACACTCACCACATCCTATCTCGTCTCCGCCCCCCCCCCCACACTCCCCCCCCCGCACACTCACCCCCCCCCCACACTCACCCACCCCCCCCACTCACCCCCCCCACACTCACCCACCCCCCCCACTCACCCCCCCCCCACACTTACCCCCCCCCACACTCACCCCCCCCCACACTCACCCCCCCCCCGCACACTCACTCCCCCCCCCCACACTCACCCCCCCCCCCACACTCACCCCCCCCCCCCCACACTCACCCCCCCCCCCACACTCCCCCCCCACACTCACCCCCCCCCCACACTCACCCCCCCCCCCACACTCACCCCCCCCCACACTCACCCCCCCCCCGCACACTCACTCCCCCCCCCCCCACACTCACCCCCCCCCCCACACTCACCCCCCCCCACACTCACCCCCCCCCCACACTCCCCCCCCCACACTCACCACATCCTATCTCGTCTCCACCGCCGGCGGCGTCCACCTTGGCGTTGCAGCGCTGTGCCGCTGGGTACGAGGTGGCTGGGTCACCCACGGACGACGCTGAGCCACTGCTGCCAGAGGACCCGGGGGAGGAGCTGAACGACTTAATGTTGTTCACTGGTGGACAAGAGAGATAGAAAGACGTTCACTGGTGGACAAGAGAGATAGAGACGTGGTTCACTGGTGGACAAGCGAGAGAGAGAGACGTTGTTCACTGGTGGACAAGAGAGAGAGAGAGACGTTGTTCACTGGTGGACAAGAGAGAGAGAGACGTGGTTCACTGGTGGACAAGAGAGAGAGAGAGAGACGTTCACTGGTGGACAAGAGAGAGAGAGACGTTCACTGGTGGACAAGAGAGAGACGTTGTTCACTGGTGGACAAGCGAGAGAGAGAGAGACGTGGTTCACTGGTGGACAAGAGAGAGACGTTCACTGGTGGACAAGAGAGAGAGAGAGACGTTGTTCACTGGTGGACAAGAGAGAGAGAGACGTTGTTCACTGGTGGACAAGAGAGAGAGAGACGTGGTTCACTGGTGGACAAGAGAGAGAGAGAGAGAGACGTTCACTGGTGGACAAGAGAGAGAGAGACGTTCACTAGTGGACAAGAGAGAGACGTTGTTCACTGGTGGACAAGAGAGAGAGACGTTGTTCACTGGTGGACAAGAGAGAGAGAGAGACGTTCACTGGTGGACAAGAGAGAGAGAGACGTTCACTGGTGGACAAGAGAGAGACGTTGTTCACTGGTGGACAAGAGAGAGAGACGTTGTTCACTGGTGGACAAGAGAGAGAGAGACGTGGTTTACTGGTGGACAAGAGAGAGAGAGAGAGACGTGGTTCACTGGTGGACAAGAGAGAGAGACGTTGTTCACTGGTGGACAAGACAGAGAGAGACGTTGTTCACTGGTGGACAAGAGAGAGAGACGTTGTTCACTGGTGGACAAGAGAGAGAGAGAGACGTTGTTCACTGGTGGACAAGAGAGAGAGAGAGAGACGTTGTTCACTGGTTGTCAAGAGAGAGAGAGACGTGGTTCACTGGTGGACAAGAGAGAGAGAGAGAGAGACGTTCACTGGTGGACAAGAGAGGGAGAGACGTTCACTGGTGGACAAGAGAGAGACGTTGTTCACTGGTGGACAAGACAGAGAGACGTTGTTCACTGGTGGACAAGAGAGAGACGTGGTTCACTGGTGGACAAGAGAGAGAGACGTGGTTCACTGGTGGACAAGAGAGAGAGAGAGACGTTGTTCACTGGTGGACAAGACAGAGAGAGACGTTGTTCACTGGTGGACAAGAGAGAGGGACGTTGTTCACTGGTGGACAAGAGAGAGAGAGAGACGTTGTTCACTGGTGGACAAGAGAGAGAGAGAGACGTTGTTCACTGGTGGACAAGAGAGAGGGACGTTGTTCACTGGTGGACAAGAGAGAGAGACGTTGTTCACTGGTGGACGAGAGAGAGAGACGTTGTTCACTGGTGGACAAGAGAGAGAGAGACGTTGTTCACTGGTGGACAAGAGAGAGAGAGAGACGTTGTTCACTGGTGGACAAGACAGAGAGAGACGTTGTTCACTGGTGGACAAGAGAGAGACGTTGTTCACTGGTGGACAAGAGAGAGAGAGACGTTGTTCACTGGTGGACAAGAGAGAGAGAGACGTGGTTCACTGGTGGACAAGAGAGAGAGACGTTCACTGGTGGACAAGAGAGAGAGACGTTGTTCACTGGTGGACAAGAGAGAGAGAGACGTGGTTCACTGGTGGACAAGAGAGAGAGACGTGGTTCACTGGTGGATAAGAGAGAGAGACGTGGTTCACTGGTGGACAAGAGAGAGAGAGACGTGGTTCACTGGTGGACAAGAGAGAGAGACGTTGTTCACTGGTGGACAAGAGAGAGAGAGAGAGAGAGACGTGGTTCACTGGTGGACAAGAGAGAGAGAGAGACGTTGTCCACTGGTGGACAAGAGAGAGAGAGAGACGTTGTTCACTGGTGGACAAGAGAGAGAGAGAGAGACGTTGTTCACTGGTGGACAAGAGAGAGAGAGACGTTGTTCACTGGTGGACAAGAGAGAGAGAGAGACGTTCACTGGTGGACAAGAGAGAGAGAGACGTTCACTGGTGGACAAGAGAGAGACGTTGTTCACTGGTGGACAAGCGAGAGAGAGAGAGACGTGGTTCACTGGTGGACAAGAGAGAGACGTTCACTGGTGGACAAGAGAGAGAGAGAGACGTTGTTCACTGGTGGACAAGAGAGAGAGAGACGTTGTTCACTGGTGGACAAGAGAGAGAGAGACGTGGTTCACTGGTGGACAAGAGAGAGAGAGAGAGACGTTCACTGGTGGACAAGAGAGAGAGAGACGTTCACTGGTGGACAAGAGAGAGAGAGACGTTGTTCACTGGTGGACAAGAGAGAGAGACGTTCACTGGTGGACAAGAGAGAGAGAGAGAGACGTTGTTCACTGGTGGACAAGAGAGAGAGACGTTCACTGGTGGACAAGAGAGAGAGAGAGACGTTCACTGGTGGACAAGAGAGAGAGACGTTGTTCACTGGTGGACAAGAGAGAGAGACGTTCACTGGTGGACAAGAGAGAGACGTTGTTCACTGGTGGACAAGAGAGAGAGACGTTGTTAACTGGTGGACAAGAGAGAGAGAGACGTTGTTCACTGGTGGACAAGAGAGAGAGAGACGTTCACTGGTGGACAAGAGAGAGAGACGTGGTTCACTGGTGGACAAGAGAGAGAGAGACGTGGTTCACTGGTGGACAAGAGAGAGAGACGTTGTTCACTGGTGGACAAGAGAGAGGGACGTTGTTCACTGGTGGACAAGAGAAAGAGAGAGAGACGTTGTTCACTGGTGGACAAGAGAGAGAGAGACGTTGTTCACTGGTGGACAAGAGAGAGAGAGAGACGTGGTTCACTGGTGGACAAGAGAGAGAGAGACGTTCACTGGTGGACAAGAGAGAGAGAGACGTTCACTGGTGGACAAGAGAGAGACGTTGTTCACTGGTGGACAAGACAGAGAGAGAGAGACGTTGTTCACTGGTGGACAAGAGAGAGAGAGACGTTGTTCACTGGTGGACAAGAGAGAGAGAGAGAGACGTTGTTCACTGGTGGACAAGAGAGAGAGAGACGTGGTTCACTGGTGGACAAGAGAGAGAGAGAGAGAGACGTTCACTGGTGGACAGAGAGGGAGAGACGTTCACTGGTGGACAAGAGAGAGACGTTGTTCACTGGTGGACAAGACAGAGAGACGTTGTTCACTGGTGGACAAGAGAGAGACGTGGTTCACTGGTGGACAAGAGAGAGAGACGTGGTTCACTGGTGGACAAGAGAGAGAGAGAGACGTTGTTCACTGGTGGACAAGACAGAGAGAGACGTTGTTCACTGGTGGACAAGAGAGAGGGACGTTGTTCACTGGTGGACAAGAGAGAGAGAGAGACGTTGTTCACTGGTGGACAAGAGAGAGAGAGACGTTGTTCACTGGTGGACAAGAGAGAGGGACGTTGTTCACTGGTGGACAAGAGAGAGAGACGTTGTTCACTGGTGGACGAGAGAGAGAGACGTTGTTCACTGGTGGACAAGAGAGAGAGAGACGTTGTTCACTGGTGGACAAGAGAGAGAGAGAGACGTTGTTCACTGGTGGACAAGACAGAGAGAGACGTTGTTCACTGGTGGACAAGAGAGAGACGTTGTTCACTGGTGGACAAGAGAGAGAGAGACGTTGTTCACTGGTGGACAAGAGAGAGAGAGACGTTGTTCACTGGTGGACAAGAAAGAGAGACGTTCACTGGTGGACAAGAGAGAGAGACGTTGTTCACTGGTGGACAAGAGAGAGAGAGACGTGGTTCACTGGTGGACAAGAGAGAGAGAGAGAGACGTGGTTCACTGGTGGACAAGAGAGAGAGACGTGGTTCACTGGTGGACAAGAGAGAGAGAGACGTGGTTCACTGGTGGACAAGAGAGAGAGAGACGTGGTTCACTGGTGGACAAGAGAGAGAGAGAGAGACGTGGTTCACTGGTGGACAAGAGAGAGAGAGAGACGTTGTCCACTGGTGGACAAGAGAGAGAGAGAGACGTTGTTCACTGGTGGACAAGAGAGAGAGAGAGAGACGTTGTTCACTGGTGGACAAGAGAGAGAGAGACGTTGTTCACTGGTGGACAAGAGAGAGAGAGAGAGAGACGTTCACTGGTGGACAAGAGAGAGAGAGACGTTCACTGGTGGACAAGAGAGAGACGTTGTTCACTGGTGGACAAGCGAGAGAGAGAGAGACGTGGTTCACTGGTGGACAAGAGAGAGACGTTCACTGGTGGACAAGAGAGAGAGAGAGACGTTGTTCACTGGTGGACAAGAGAGAGAGAGACGTTGTTCACTGGTGGACAAGAGAGAGAGAGACGTGGTTCACTGGTGGACAAGAGAGAGAGAGAGAGACGTTCACTGGTGGACAAGAGAGAGAGAGACGTTCACTGGTGGACAAGAGAGAGAGAGACGTTGTTCACTGGTGGACAAGAGAGAGAGACGTTCACTGGTGGACAAGAGAGAGAGAGAGACGTTGTTCACTGGTGGACAAGAGAGAGAGACGTTCACTGGTGGACAAGAGAGAGAGAGAGACGTTCACTGGTGGACAAGAGAGAGAGACGTTGTTCACTGGTGGACAAGAGAGAGAGACGTTCACTGGTGGACAAGAGAGAGACGTTGTTCACTGGTGGACAAGAGAGAGAGACGTTGTTAACTGGTGGACAAGAGAGAGAGAGACGTTGTTCACTGGTGGACAAGAGAGAGAGAGACGTTCACTGGTGGACAAGAGAGAGAGACGTGGTTCACTGGTGGACAAGAGAGAGAGAGACGTGGTTCACTGGTGGACAAGAGAGAGAGACGTTGTTCACTGGTGGACAAGACAGAGAGAGACGTTGTTCACTGGTGGACAAGAGAGAGGGACGTTGTTCACTGGTGGACAAGAGAAAGAGAGAGAGACGTTGTTCACTGGTGGACAAGAGAGAGAGAGACGTTGTTCACTGGTGGACAAGAGAGAGAGAGAGACGTGGTTCACTGGTGGACAAGAGAGAGAGAGACGTTCACTGGTGGACAAGAGAGAGAGAGACGTTCACTGGTGGACAAGAGAGAGACGTTGTTCACTGGTGGACAAGACAGAGAGACGTTGTTCACTGGTGGACAAGACAGAGAGACGTTGTTCACTGGTGGACAAGAGAGAGAGAGACGTGGTTCACTGGTGGACAAGAGAGAGAGAGACGTGGTTCACTGGTGGACAAGAGAGAGAGAGAGACGTTGTTCACTGGTGGACAAGACAGAGAGAGACGTTGTTCACTGGTGGACAAGAGAGAGGGACGTTGTTCACTGGTGGACAAGAGAGAGAGAGAGACGTTGTTCACTGGTGGACAAGAGAGAGAGAGAGACGTTGTTCACTGGTGGACAAGAGAGAGGGACGTTGTTCACTGGTGGACAAGAGAGAGAGACGTTGTTCACTGGTGGACGAGAGAGAGAGACGTTGTTCACTGGTGGACAAGAGAGAGAGAGACGTTGTTCACTGGTGGACAAGAGAGAGAGAGACGTTCACTGGTGGACAAGAGAGAGAGACGTTGTTCACTGGTGGACAAGAGAGAGAGACGTTGTTCACTGGTGGACAAGAGAGAGAGAGACGTTGTTCACTGGTGGACAAGAGAGAGAGAGACGTTCACTGGAAGACAAGAGAGAGAGACGTGGTTCACTGGTGGACAAGAGAGAGAGACGTTGTTCACTGGTGGACAAGAGAGAGAGAGACGTGGTTCACTGGTCGACAAGAGAGAGAGAGAGACGTTCACTGGTGGACAAGAGAGAGACGTTGTTCACTGGTGGACAAGAGAGAGAGACGTTGTTCACTGGTGGACAAGAGAGAGAGAGAGACGTTCACTGGTGGACAAGAGAGAGAGACGTTGTTCACTGGTGGACAAGAGAGAGACGTTCACTGGTGGACAAGAGAGAGAGACGTTGTTCACTGGTGGACAAGAGAGAGACGTTCACTGGTGGACAAGAGAGAGAGACGTTGTACACTGGTGGACAAGAGAGAGAGAGACGTTCACTGGTGGACAAGAGAGAGAGAGAGAGACGTTGTTCACTGGTGGACAAGAGAGAGAGAGACGTTGTTCACTGTGGACAAGAGAGAGAGACGTTGTTCACTGGTGGACAAGAGAGAGAGACGTTGTTCACTGGTGGACAAGACAGAGAGAGACGTTGTTCACTGTTCGACAAGAGAGAGAGACGTTGTTCACTGGTGGACAAGACAGAGAGAGACGTTGTTCACTGGTGGACAAGAGAGAGAGAGACGTTGTTCACTGGTGGACAAGAGAGAGACGTTGTTCACTGGTGGACAAGAGAGAGAGACGTTCACTGGTGGACAAGAGAGAGAGACGTTGTTCACTGGTGGACAAGAGAGAGAGAGACGTTCACTGGTGGACAAGAGAGAGAGACGTTGACTGCTGTGCCAGGCTAGGTGCAGGAGGAGGTCATGGGACAGACCCTGCAGGTACCACGGGTTGACTGCTGTGCCAGGCTAGGTGCAGGAGGTCACGGGACAGGCCCAGGTGTCTATTGGTTGACGGCTGTGCCAGGCTAGGTGCAGTAGGAGGTCACGGGACAGACCCAGGTGTTATGGTTAGGCTGCTGTGCCAGGCTAGGTGCAGGAGGAGGAAGTCACGGGACAGACCCAGTTGCCATGGGCTCACTGCTGTGCCAGGCTAGGTGCAGGAGGAGGTCACGGGACAGACCCAGCAGGTGCCATGGGTTGACTGCTGTGCCAGGCTAGGTGCAGGAGGAAGTCACGGGACAGACCCAGCAGGTGCCACGGGTTCACTGCTGTGCCAGGCTAGGTGCAGCAGGATGACCGGCACAGCAAGCAGCAGCAGCAGCAGAATCTGTGTCAATCGTCGTGGGACGGCACCACGGTGCGGTGCGGTGCGGTGTGGATGCGGTGCAGTGTGGGTGCAGTGTGGTGCAGTGCGGTGTGGGTGCGGTGCGGTGTGGGTACGGTGCGGTGCGGGTGCGGTGCATTGTGGGTGCGGTGTGGTGCAGTACGGTGTGGTGCGGTGCAGTGTGGGTGTGGTGCGGTGCATTGTGGGTACGGTGTGGGTGCGGTGCGGTGGAGTGTGGGTGCAGTGTGGGTGCAGTGCGGTGTGGGTGCGGTGTAGTGCATTGTGGGTGCGGTGCATTGTGGGTACGGTGCGGGTGCGGTGCGGGTGCGGTGCGGGTGCGGTGCATTGTGGGTACGGTGTGGTTCGGGTGCGGTGCGGGTGCGGTGCGGGTGCGGTGCGGGTGCGGTGCGGGTGCGGTGCATTGTGGGTACGGTGTGGTGCGGGTGCGGTGCGGGTGCGGTGCGGGTGCGGTGCATTGTGGGTACGGTGTGGTGCAGTGCGGTGTGGGTACGGTGCGGTGCGGGTGCGGTGCGGCGTCTCACGGATGCGCCACGCGGCGATGCCCACGGCCGCCAGGACTAGCACCACCACCACGACGGTGAGGCAGCGGCACAGGGAGGTCCGCAGGCAGCCGCTCGACATCTTCGATCCTCCCGGCGCGGCAGGCACTGAGCAATGACAAAGGTGCCACCCCACCCCACCCCACCCCCAGGTAGCCTTAGGAGACCGTCGTGGCAAGTGCCCCTTGGCGAGCGAGCACCAACGAAGGCCCGGCACCGCGGTCGGTGGGGAATCGAACTCGGGTCGCCGGGTTCGTAGCGCTACCCACACGCTCGCCCACACGCTCGCCCACACGCTCGCCCACACGCTCGCCCACACGCTCACCCACACGCTCACCCACATATACACGGACCCACCCACCCACGCACTCGCTCAACCACACATTCACCCACCCATATACTCGACCACCGACACAAACACTCACCTACACACACACCCACCCGCAGACTCACTCACCCACCCACCCACTCACCCACCCGCCTACACACCCACCCACCAACTCACCCACACACTCACCCACCCACCCACTCACCCACCCACTCACCCACCCACTCACCCACCCACTCACCCACCCACCCACACACACACCCACCTACGCACCCACCCACACAACTCACCCACCAACTCACCCACACACTCACCCACCAACTCACTCACCCACCCACCCACTCACCCACCCACCCACACACCCACCTACCCACCCGCCTACACACCCACCCACCAACTCACCCACCCACCCACTCACCCACCCGCCTACCCACCCACCCACACACACACCCACCTACGCACCCACCCACACAACTCACCCACCAACTCACCCACACACTCACCCACCAACTCACCCACCCACCCACCCACTCACCCACCTGCCTACCCACCCGCCTACACACCCACCCACCCACCCACACACCCACCCACCAACTCACTCACCCACCAACACACTCACCCACCAACTCACACACTCACCCACACACCCACCCACACACTCACCCACCCACCCACCCGCCTACACACACACTCACCCACCAACTCACCCACCAACTCACCCACCAACTCACCAACTCACCCACCAACCCACCCACTCACCCACCAACCCACCCACTCACCCACCAACTCACCCACCAACTCACCCACCAACCCACCCACCAACCCACCAACTCACCCACCAACCCACCCACCCACTCACCCACCAACTCACCCACCAACTCACCCACCAACTCACCCACCCACCCACCAACTCACCCACCAACTCACCCACCAACTTACCCACCAACTCACCCACCCACCCACTCACCCACCAACTCACCCACCAACTCACCCACCAACTCACCCACTCACACACACACACTCATCCACCCACCCACCAACTCACCCACCCACCCGCCTACACACACACTCATCCACCCACCCACCAACTCACCCAACCACCCGCCTACACACACACTCACCCACCAACTCACCCACCCACCAACTCACCCACCCACCAACTCACCCACCCACCCACACAGACCCCCCCCACTACTCACCGGGCACGTGCTGTGGAGGCTGTCTGGGGATGCTGTAGGCTGGGGGTTGATCCCCGCTGTACGGGGGGGGGAACCCCGGCTGGGTGGGGTAGCCCGGCTGGGTGGGGTAGCCCGGCTGGGTGGGGTAGCCCGGGTAGCCAGGCTGGGGGGGGTACCCCCCTCCCGGTTGCACGGGTGTGGGTTGCATGGCTGGGTAGGGGTACCCCTTGTAAGGGGGTCGGGAGGAAGGGGGAAGGGGGAGAGGTTAGAACCCTAGAGAAAAAGACTAAGATCCCCCGTATAGCCTTAAGGGGCCGTCCATAAATGACGTCACGCGATTTTGGACAATTTATGACCCCCCCCCTCAAACATGACGTCACAAAGCTCTGCCCCCCCCCCCAAATTTTTTTAAAAATCGCTTTAAACTATTGTCATTGTAGTTGCGTATTTAATGTGGCGCTGCACTCTGATGTTGTAGGAAGAAAACATTTACTAAAAAGTCTATTTTATTTAGTAGAACGTGTTGTCTATATTTATTTATAAAGTTGCGCATTTTGATGTGACGTCACATTTCTCAAACCCCCCCCCCTCCCCACGTCACACATCGTCACAAATGTCTGACCCCCCCCCCCCAGGTGCGTGACGTCATTTATGGCCGGACCCCTTAGATAATCGTCACCGATGTTGGTGGCCGTGAGCGGGAATCGAACTCGGGTCGCCGGGTTCGTAGCGCTAACCACTACACCAAAGCTCCCACACACACACACAGTGACACACACACAGTGACACACAGTGACACACACACAGTGACACAAAGTGACACACACACAGTGACACACAGTGACACACACACAGTGACACACACACAGTGACACACAGTGACACACACACGTGCACACACAGTGACACACACAGTGACACACAGTGACACACAGTGACACACACACGTGCACACACACACAGTGACACACACACAGTGACACACAGTGACACACACACAGTGACACACACGTGCACACACACAGTGACACACACAGTGACACACACACGTGCCCACACACAGTGACACACACAGTGACACACACACGGTGACACGTACACGTGCACACACACAGTGACACACACACACGTGCACACACACACGGTGACACACACACGGTGACACACACACGTGCACACAACAACAACCGCCATTCGCCACTAAGTGGCGGTGACGTCACCACGACGCTTGTGCCAGGCTAGGTGCACGTTGAGGCCAAGTGAAGTGTTGAACGCCCGCTGGCAGGAGGTCACGGGACAGACCCAGCAGGTGCCACGGGTCGACTGACTGAGATGACTGGCTGATGCACCACCTGTGCCTCTACTGTGCAAACTCGCTGTGCTTTAGCAGCCCGGCGCTCCGCTCGTTGTTGTGAGCGTCGCTCCTCCGCCCTCCATTGTTGTTGTTGGAGGGCGACTGCCTCAAACTGCCCAGTAGCGTCCTTCACGAGCCTCCTCCACAGAGGCCGATCTTGACACCGCTGGTACCAGTCATCGGCAAGTCCACTCAGCTCCACGTCCTCCTGTACCACATCACTCCATCTCTTCTCTAGCCCGTGCCGCGCCCGCTTAGCCCCCTCGATCCGTCCGAACAAAAGCTGTTTCGGCATGCGGTGGCTGGGCATTACGAGCTACGTGACCAACGCAGCCTTGCCTGCCGGATGAGTCTGGTTAAAAGCAGGACGGCAGGCAGGCAGGCAGGCCAGTCTGAACGTCTCAAACCGACGCACGTGTTCCTTGCAGAGGGCTCCACGTTCAGCAGATCACAGACGAGGGATTGTAACATAACCGCGCCAAAGACGCAGCTTCGCGTCGAGTGATAGACGGGGTCGCTTGCGCGCACACACGCATACCGATGATCGCTCGACCGGTCATGCCGTAAGCTGGTCACGAGCGCGTTGCCCAGATGTGGAAACGTCTCCACCCTCTTCACAACTTCTCCTTTCAAGCACGGGTGGAGCCGAGGGGGTGGGAGGGGGGTGGAGCCGAGGGGGTGGGAGGGGGGGGGAGAGAGCACAAAATGCCCAGGGAAGGGGCTTTGTGTTTTTTTGTGCGGGGTCGATGGAGAAAGGTCCCCCCCCGACTCCCCCCCCACACCCCCCCACACTCCCCCCCCCCCCCCACACTCCCCCCCCCCACACACTCCCACCCCCCCCCACCCTGAACCCTCCAGGTTCAGCAGTGGCATCTCCAACTCCTTTTTTGAGTGGGTAAGGATCTGCAGATCATCAACGCACATTAACACGTGCGTGCAGATGATCAACAGATCATCATAACACGTGCGTGCAGATGATCAACAGATCATCATAACACGTGCGTATTGATGATCAACAGATCATCATAACACGTGCGTGCAGATGATCAACAGATCATCATAACACGTGCGTGCAGATGATCAACAGATCATCATAACACGTGCGTGCAGATGATCAACAGATCATCATAACACGTGCGTGCAGATGATCAACAGATCATCATAACACGTGCGTACTGATGATCAACAGATCATCATAACACGTGCGTATTGATGATCAACAGATCATCATAACACGTGCGTACCGATGATCAACAGATCATCATAACACGTGCGTGCAGATGATCAACAGATCATCATAACACGTGCGTGCAGATGATCAACAGATCATCATAACACGTGCGTGCAGATGATCAACAGATCATCATAACACGTGCGTGCAGATGATCAACAGATCATCATAACACGTGCGTACCGATGATCAACAGATCATCATAACCCGTGCGTAGTGATGATCAACAGATCATCATAACACGTGCGTGCCGATGATCAACAGATCATCATAACACGTGCGTGCAGATGATCAACAGATCATCATAACACGTGCGTACCAATGATCAACAGATCATCATAACACGTGCGTACCGATGATCAACAGATCATCATAACACGTGCGTACCGATGATCAACAGATCATCAACGCACATTAACACGTGCGTGCCGATGATCAACAGATCATCATAACACGTGCGTGCAGATGATCAACAGATCATCATAACACGTGCGTACCGATGATCAACAGATCATCAACGCACATTGACACGTGCGTGCCGATGATCAACAGATCATCAACGCACATTAACACGTGCGTACCGATGATCAACAGATCATCATAACACGTGCGTACCGATGATCAACAGATCATCAACACACACATTAACACGTGCGTACTGATGATCAACAGATCATCATAACACGTGCGTACCGATGATCAACAGATCATCAACGCACATGACAGTGCGTACTGATGATCAACAGATCATCATAAGACGTGCGTACCGATGATCAACAGATCATAACACGTGCGTACCGATGATCAACAGATCATCAACACGCACAAAACACGTGCGTACCGATGATCAACAGATCATCGACGCGCATAACAGGATTCATAATCAATCTTTGTTGGGTTAGATCGCGCCAAGTATTGATGTTGTGTCGTACCCCCTCCACCACCCGACGCAGCCAGCAAGGTTTATGTTTGTGTCACGTGAACGGCGCGCCAATTCGTGATTTCACTTCAGCCCAGCGGTACGTGTTCGAAAGAGTAAATCCACAACGTTTACAATTTGACTACGACGTTACCCTGCCGGCTTACACACCCAGCATCATCGGGGCGATTTGCCGGAATAGTGAAGTCGTCCGCCTGCTTCCGGTCGATGACCGTGACTCCGAAAGAGCACGGGGAGTAAACCCAGAGCCCCAGACCTGTTGAAGGTTACCACGAGCCTTTGATCAGGTCAAAGAAAGCAGAGAATGTACAGCGCCTGTTGAAATTGCCTACAACACATCCCCCCCCCCCCCCCCCCCCCCCCCCCGCCCGCTGTAAGCGAACGGACAGAGAAAACTGGCGTCCGTATAAAGGACCGCCCCGGTCTGAAACAACATTTTTGGGGGGGGCTCGGCAAACCTCTAACCCCGGGGGCGCCTGCCAAGGGCGATGTTGAATGAATCCTCGCGAGGACCTTTTTTTTCCCCGGCCCCACCCCCCCCCTATAGTTGTTGCAATCACTGCGGGTTCAACCTCCTGAAAGAAAGCATCCTTCGGAATCCGGCGGAAACTGCGGAGTGGACCAGCGCTGTTGTTATGATGTCAGGTGGGGCAGCCTGCAACACAGACGCCACCCTCAATCAGCAGTTCCCTCGGCGGGTTTCTACGTTCTGTGCGTAGAACTTATTTTGGGCCCATGATGCATTGCTTTGATGGGGTTACATCGCAGCAAATGCTTTGGTTCTCTCGCTAAAGCCATCGCGCGCGGGTAGGAATTTTTGTTTTATATATATAGATAGATAGATCGCGGCAGTTCGATCGCAACGCAAGCGACCGCCATCAGGTCACCGGTTGCTTGCGTTGCGAACGAAACGTCGCGTGATCTACGAGATCCCTTTTTTTCCGACCCACGTGATGGCTTTTAACCGAAAAGAACCAAGGGAGAGCACGGATTCCTTGCGGCCACGAAAGCTTCAAATCAAGAGCGTACGAACGCCGCGCTCGTCACGTGACCCCTCCACCGCCCGACGCGGCCAATCGCCGTGAGGCTCGCGCGTCACGTGAGCGCGGGCGTGGCCAATCCGTGACCGGCTCGGCGCTAAGCGGTTGACAATCCGCCGTCGTCGTCGTTGGGAGAGTTGAAGCTGGATTTGAAGCTTTCGTGACTGCAAGGAACCACGTTCTTTGGTTCCATTCGGTAAAGTCACGTAGGTAAAAAAAATTATAATAATAAAACAACACGAAAAAATCACGACGTTTCCAGAGGACAGTTTGGTCCCTCCACCTGATGAAGGCCACTTGTGCTGTGGCTGAAAAACGTCGTGATTTTTTTTGTTTTTGTTGTTGTTGGTTTTTTTTACACCCACGTGACTTTACCGAATAGAACCAAAGAGTTGGACCCACGTGAGGGCCGTTTGAAATTCGAGCAGCCGTGATGCAACCCGTACGAAGGCCACGCAACGCTGACGGTCCACTCCGTAGCAGCCTTAACGGACTGTTGGGGGCGAGGTGCTGTTAGCCAGCGCCCTTTAAGACCCGCGCGCCGTGGCACACGAAGAGGGGAGGGGGGGGGGTTGGGGTGGCCAACACCGCGCCCGGCCGCCTTTGTCTTCCCCGGTGGCGACGCTCAACCTGCGTCGCGAGCGTGTGAATTCGGTTCGAG